CTGTTTCCTCAAACTCATTGTTTTGAGGGCTCCTGCTCACCTGCCCAGGCCGTCTGCAGTTTCAGTTCCTTACCTGATTCTCACAACATTTGGGACAGGTTATTATTACAGCAGAGAGAAAGACAAAAATACTTACTCCTGGCCCACAGGAGAGGAGGGTGATAGAATCTGTCGTAGAATCAGTATGTTCGGAGTGCCAGCTCTGTGCTCATTACCTATTAGTGTGATGAAAAAATATCTATATCATTACTAATATGTCCTTCTTTCTATTAAGTAAATTATTTCAGTGTGAAAGTGTGATTTGCACATAACCCTGTATGAAGCGGTGGTAATATAATGTACAGGCAGTTCCAAAAATACCTGTTATTTCTCATTTTTAAAATCCTAGTGAGATCTGCACGGAGTTGCTGCAGAAAGCACGGCCTGAGGGACATGTGTGGTATGCAGAGGTCTAAAAGACCAGCCCGCATTTGGCCTCCAGCAAACAGCCTCCTATTCCCTGGGAAGAGATGAATTAGAGACAAGAACCATCAACAGGGCTCCAAAACAGAGAAGAATGTATTTTTAGAAAGCCATCAGATGTCTGCCATTTGCAAGCTGGAGACTCCCACGAGCAGGACACCAGCTGGCACAGCAGCAGAACCCTTTATAAAAGTCATCACAATGACCTCAACAGGGATATGTATGTGCTGGCTGCTCCTGAACTCTGTGGCAAGGGACAGCAATGTAACCACATCCAAATGGGCACAAAGCAGAGTATTTAATGCTCTCACACAGCAAGATTGCTCACTGGTTACAGCTTTACCTGGTAATGTTCATAGTAGTGTGCTAAATCTAAAAACATTGACTTCAGTCCATGGAATACATATTGTTTTCTTGATGTGTAATTTTTTAGAGTATTAGTTTTCCCTTGATTTTGTGTATGCATTGATATTTATGCTGTGGTGGATGGTTATTTTGGAGACATTATGCAGGAACACTTTGTTTAGGAAGCATGGAGCTTGTCCTCCATGAAAAGGAAGTCCCGTGTCACATCCCTCGTGTGAGTAGTACAGCAAGATGACTGTAGCCTTGGGTAGATGGGGCTGACTGTGACATTGATGGTTGCTTTAGAATCAATACTTCTCATGTGAAAAACGCATGTTTTTACAAAAGCACAAAAGCCATGTTCAAATACTTCTAATTCCATCCCAAAGGCAGACAACCACCAGCAAAGCAGGACTATTTTACTGGCCTTCACCATTATAATGTAGGATGGCTTATCAAGAAGGAACTGCCATCATGATTCACTCAGTACAGAAAAGATTAGAATTGACTGGCTCTAATCTTGGCGCAAGTGACATCCTTTTGCTTATCTGATTTCTTCATAATTCACCTTGAAGTATTTGCCACGGAGCCATGTCTGGAGCTTTTGTACCTGTCAGTCATCCAAGCTTTGGATGGGGTGCTGGATATCAGTTAAAAATGAAGGCGTCAATCAGACCCACCACCCAGAATTCAAGACTTGTTTGTTCCATGTGGCTTGCGAGGATCACAGTGCTCTCAGGAACATTCCTGGAGACCAGCTCTGCAACATGACTTGGACAGTAATGGGAGGTGTCTGGTCTGGAATGGCCCTAGAAGATGGTTTATTTTGATGTTACCTGAAAAGCTTCCAAGACTAAGTCAAGAACACAAATATATATATGTAGATAGGCATTATTTATGTATTATTATATATATGACATAATATTATAATATATAAAAATTAAATTAAATTATAGTATACATAATATATATTCTATATATAAAATATATTATATTTATATATAAAATATACATCATATTATATTATAAATATAACAAATATAATAATATATTATAAATATATATTAAATTATATGCATAGAGTATTATATATATTGTCTCTATATAATATATTGTATATAATATATAAATATTGTATATATGAGCTATTATTTATTCTATTCTATATACAGAATATATTATTATTTATAATTATTATATATTCTATAGCATATATGCTCCACATTATATATTTATGGTGTTTTTTACAGCTATATACGTATAAGAGCAATGAAGCTGGTGAAGGGTCTAGAAAATGTCTTACAATGAGAAGCTGAGGGAGATTAGCTTTTATTCTGCTAAATTAATTATGGGTAAAGAAAAGACATGCAGACACAGAAGTTAGGCACAGTATTTTGAAGGAAAAGAGAAATATATGCAAAGGCTCGCAGGACTCCACACACACAAAAAAAAAGGTGTTAAAAGAGAAATCCAAGGAAAATAAGGTGAAAAATATATAAAAAAAAAAATTAGCACAGCAGGACTTTTTCATGGATGTTTTCAGGGAAAAATAATTGTGGCTTATTATGAGCCTTTTATGTTCAAGGCAGTTGATAGAAAGCTGCTGTTTTAAATCTTGAGATGTCTCAGTTATTTCTTTCCACCACTGTTATCCCTGCACCAGTGTCAGACCCCTGAATGTGATGGTTTTGCAGTCACACAGAGGAGGGGAGGGCATCTGTACCTCACCAGGTATCACACCAAAAAGCAACTGGTGGCATTTTGCAAATCTGCCCTCCAACACTGGGATTTGTCTCTATTTTATTAAAACACGGGATAATGCATGGCCTCAGACAGTGCACAAAATAGCAATTCACTTTCAGCTCCTCTATGGAGGTTGTAGCACTAATGAAGCAAATCACATCTCAGGGAATATAGCCATGATTTAGAATGTGTAGAACTGTAATAAAATTTGTTATGGCTGAGATTGTTATGTTTTTAATGGAAAAAAGAAGAATTAGGATTGAAATTGAAAAACAACCCAGTTCCCATAAAAGGTAAAAATGTGCTTGGATAAAAGGTTAATAGAGTTAATTGTGGGGAGTAATACAGGACAGCAACTCATGCTAGAGGAGATAATTGTGATTCTGATAAAGGGGAATTGTAATTAAATAGAGGTTGGATAAACAAGATTATCCCGAAAAGGTTTCCCAGCACAGTACCGGGAGGTTTTAAGATGTGGAGGCAGACGCCTGTACGTGATCTGGAAGTAGAGATACCACTGCTGCCAGCCTTGCTGGGTGCTCACCACTGCGGCATGCTGCCCACGCTGCTGCTCTGGCCAGCAAAAGGCAATAAACTGAGCTCATTTTGAAGTTTAGTTCACCTGCAACACTAACTGGCAAGTGATCTTCCTGTCCTTGCTCTTCTCATTTCTGCTGGTGTCCATCTCCACCCCCATCCTGCTGTGGGGGGAGCAGCTCTGGGTGCTGGCCAAGGCTGATCTGCCGCAGGATGGCTGTGGGCTGGAACAGGTGAGGGCATCCCTCCCATATGATGCTTTTACCAGAACTGATAGGATTTGTTTACATGGATATTAAAATGAAATGCAGTATTTTGACACTGAATCCTGAGAGACAAACAGAGGTTTTCCACACTGATCTGTTTCACTAAAATGGGTATCTGTGCTTCATATTTTTATTTGCTGAGTTACCAATGTTCCACAATAACCTATATGATATGAAGGGAATCAAATACAGCATATTCCTCCCAGGACAGCCAGAAGAATTCCAAAAAGCTTTTTTGTTTCTGTTTCCTTTAAATTGCAAAACATTTTTGCAATATCTTCAACTTTTAACTATATATCATTAAAAAATACAAATATACTGAATTCAAATACAGGATAGTATTAATTCACATTTTTCTATAATTCCTATAGATTATTTTATATAACACATACAGAGTAAAAAACCCAGAGAATTCACTAAGAAAAATTATCAAATACTTCTTGCTATTCAATTATTTATAGTACTATTTGGAATCACAGAATATCATAATGATAAACATTCTCAGATGCCTAAGGTAAATTTCTACTGGAGTTCTATTACTCCTTATTCAGAGCAAGTGGATGTCTCTCCAGGGACCAAGCAAATTTCCCCTCCGAAAAAAAGGGAGGGAAATATCTTTTTGCTTTCAAATTTTTGTTTTTCCCATGCCAACTTCCAGATCTTCAAGCAGACTTCACAAGCCCATATACAGAGACCAGTTATGAGCCCTTACTGTCACCTTTAAGCCTGCTCCTTCAAACTTTTTTCACCTCGAATTTTCTCCCCAATCTCTGTGCTTGCCTTCTGTCGGTTTACAAGCTGCAGTGAATCCTAAAAGCAGGCTTGGACACAAAATGTGTCCTCAATGTTTTTTCAGGCATAATCTGCAACACTCTAGGTTGCTGACAATATACATACTGGAATAATCCCACAACTATTAGGGTGGATAGCATCTGTTGTGTTAGTGAATGAGACTGAGAACAAAGTGAATTGAAATTACTTGTGGAAACTCCCAGCAGTTTCTTTGGCATTTTATCTCTGCAGCTGGCACGTGATACAGTAATTGTATTACTCACATTCCTGTCTTCTCTGCTTGTTAAGTGAGTTTGTTGAAGTTTCTTGTACCCGACACGCATTTATTTGCAACCATTTCTAAGGTCATGACTCTATTGCCTAAATCAGTTGTTGAAACTTGAATTCAGTACAGAAAATATTTAGGTATCAAGGTTATTTTTAAATTCAAGCCATGCACAACACTTTTGCTTCCTTGTCTACATTGCTTTTACTTTGCAAAAGCTTCTGTTTATTGAAGCTTATTGAAAGAGTACTAATTTCTTTTTTTAAAATATTTTTAAGTTTCCACTGAGTTTGTTTCCTGGAGGGATATTTCTTTTTGTCACTGTACAGCAAGGATACCCAGGACCTAGAATCAAACACAGGAGATGACACAGTAACATTATTCTCACAAACCACCTCTAAGGATATTGGCTGCCTATGCTGCACACACAGGTTTTGGCACCCACAAAAATTAATGTAGAGATGGGAAAGTTAAGACAAAGTTGTACACCTACCCAAAACATGTTTTGAATAGTCTGCCACACAGTTTTTCTGGAAAAACAACTTTTCACTCATGAGTGACATATTTTAATTTCCTAAAGGAAAGAGAGGTTTTGAGAAAATATATTTGTATTAATTCTGCAACAATCAATACTGAACTCTGGAAAATGCGTTTAATTTCTATGAAAATGTCATTCCTTTGCCTCTGACTCGCTAGCAGTGGTTTTTTTCCCAGTGTTTCATTAACATGACACTTTTACTTGAGAAAGTAGCTGGCACGTGCTGTAAATTTTGTGTTCTCCCAAGAGAAAATGAATAAAGAGCTTTAAAAAGGAAACAGTGAAATGGTTACTGCTTGTGTTTACCGACAACTGAAGGTGAACCTTTTAGTTACTTTGCAGTCTCCCCAGCCTAACATCCTCCAGTGAGAGGATGGAATACTGAGCTCCCTGCCATGGAGAAGGATCTCTGTGTGATTTACTGGTAGTGCAATGATCCAGTGAAACAGGGGCAGCTTCATAAGGAAAATTGAGGCTAACACACTTGAGAATTACAAAAAAGGGTGTTCTAAAACATGTTTAAACTCAGTGAATGCAGCAGTTCCCCTCCAGTGCAAAGTACCACCAGGAAATGTGATACTGCACAACAGATCAATGTTCTGTATTCCAGATGTCTTGTTCAACTAATCTTCACCTAATTTTGATTACAGTATCTCCGTATGTGTTTGCATAAAACAGAATTTAAGGAAATTTTGTAAGCATGAGTGACAGGCCAGTCCATAAAGACCAGGAGAATTTCAGCCTCGGGAGGAATATGGAAAGAAGTTATCAGTTCCCAAAGCTTTAATACTCCTTAAGTTTCAAGGGGCTTAAATAATCTTGCTGGTGATAGGTATCTAGCTAGTACAAAGTTGATAAATCAAGCTGTGAAGTTCTTTATTCTTCACTGATGAGATGTTCCTAGAAAAATAATTCCAAAAAGCTTTCCTCCACTGAGACTGGAAAACATCTTAGCCTTGTATTTATCATTCACTCAAATTAAGAACACTAATACATCTAAGGTCAGATAAAGGTGGATTTCTTCTGCTACTTTTTGTCTTCATTTTTTCAAGCATATTCTCAGCTTTTTCACAACACAGGAGAAGTGATGTCCTTCGCAGCTGTGTCCCACTTTCATGAAATATACAGAAGCACCCTGGTAAATCTGCTTAGCTAGAAAGGTGATGCAGGCAGTAAAAGAAAATAATGTGAAACACTTTACGGACTAAAGATGTGCCCGGATAAACACCAGATGTGTGTTTATCATATGTAGATGCATACAAGGTGGGAAAGAGAGAAGTTTAAATTGAATTATTGTGGTTTTCAAAATATTTTGAAGGTAATGTCCAATCCAAATCCCTCCTGACACAGCTTGAGGCCATGTCCTCTTGTCCTGTCACTAGTTTCCTGGGAGAAATAGCTAAACCCCATCTTGCTACAACCATGTGGAGCAGCGGGAAACACTGGAAAGAGCAGGTGGTAGTGATGTTCTGCTCCCTGGTAATTTATTTAGAAGACACCAATATTGAAGTCTTTATCTTCAGTTGTTTGTCACGCGTGTGTGCCACAACCATTCCGACCCTTACATGGCCAGATCTCTTTTGCATCACTGACATTCTACCTTCTTACCTACAAAGGTATCCAAAATGAAAACAGCAGAGTTCTGTCTACAGTTAAACTACCCCTTTTTTATTGCAATAGGAGTGGAAAATCCAAGCCAGGGAAGACAAAAAACTTTCCAAACCTTGGAAAACTCAGGTTTTGGGTATTCAGAAGTATTATCCAGCATTAAACTGTTTATTAGGAGGCATTATTTTCCTATGTCAAGAATATTTACCATGATAGTTTGGCTATATTTCATTGGTTTCACTTTAAATCACATAACTGTTATTATCAAAAGTCCTTAGTGGAGGCCCTGAGAGGCTACTTTCCTTAACACAGCCCTGAAGCTGCACGACACAATTGGCAACACCACACAGTCCATGTGCAGACTGGCTACTACAACATTTTCCAATGTGAGATAAGGCAGCAGCTTTGATCATTGGCTATCTGTTGTCCTCTATGACAATGGTTCTTCTCGGATAGGTCTCAACATCCACAAATATGTAGCGAACCTCGAATTTTCCTGTTTCAAGATTCTGGAAAGAAAAAAAATTCAGTGTTTTTTTTTTTTCTCTTTGGTGGTTTAAATTCAAGACTAAGCTTGTCAGGTGTATCAAGCAATTGTACCTACCTCTTTGACTTCCACATGGACTGTTCCCTGTTTCCCTGATTCAGTGCCCTCAATATAGAACTTCAAACGCATATGTTTCAGTCCGTCCTTTACGTATTCAATGTGACTAAAAACAACAACACAAAACAAAAACCCAACCACCCAGCAAGAATACAGATTATATGCTAGTTAAGACTTCAAATTTAAACTTACTTAGAGGAGTTGCTTACTTATTTTGTAAGAAAGTGTATTCCGGTGGTGTCCTTATGCTACCTTGGGTTCCTTCTCTACCGCTTCTCTCAAGCTTTACTGTGAGTGCCTAAGAACTAGTGGAGTTAGAAGAGCTAATTAGCTGCTGAGGATCAAGAGATTAAATGCTTAAATGTCCTCACCCCAGTCCTCCCCTCAAAACTGAAAAGCAATTCACTGCTGAGATACGGAAATTCCCTGTATTTATTCTAAAAAAACCCTGACTTGGAGATTTGGAGCCTGGCATCTAGAAAGGGACCCCACATCACCAAGATTTCCAGAGTTTTTTTTTAGCAAGCCAAAACACACACAGCATGTTTTTCCTAATTAATTATCAGGTTGGTTAAACCACATCAAAACAAACAGTTTACTATGTGCTTTACTTAAAATAATTTTATCCTGCTGAAATTGTGTAACTTTGGCACTGATATGAGATCTCCAACCTAAATGCTGGTATTTAGACTGGAGTTGGTTATGCTCAATTATTAAAAAAATAGCACATCACTTTCAAAGTGACCACTTTGGGAAACTAATGATCCAGTGAGAGTTCTGGTGCCAGTTTATGTTTCCTACTGAAATTATTAACTACTGTTTAGCACCAATCTCTGATTACCATCAATCATGCCCATGTACATACTGTGAAATAAACTTCCAATACAGTTTAAGGTGACATGATGGGGTAGAGAGAACAAATATGAATGAAGACCCTTACTGCAGTAAATTTACATTCAAGGTGTTCCTACACAAAAAAAAACCCTGTAGATTTTTGAGACAAATATTTAAGATCATTCTTATACTGCAGATGCAAACTCTACAATCTTACACAGTTCTCAGTTCAAAAATTTCTTTAAAATACAAGGCATTCAAAATTAATGAAATGAAAATTAAATACTAGGAAGCTGATTCATAGTAAATTTACTTATTTACAGACACATGCTCAGAATGTTTGTGCACATCAATTTAGTTTAGCAGCTTCACTTTAAACATTATTTCATGGAGTCTGGTGAAGAGATAAAGCTTCAACCAGTAAAAGCCACTTTCCTCAGACAAAAGAAAAAAATCTCAATTTCATGGTTCAAGCTGCGTCTGGGCTTATGTGTCTCATCTTATATGAAACCTCACTGAATATATTCCTGCCAAATAACCCAATAAAGGCAAAGGACTTATGTTTTGTAAGAATTTATTTTGTTGTTTCTTTCAAAAGGAAAGTAATAGGCATACTCATGAAAGGTTTAGGTGATAGGTGTTCTGTTAAATACACAGTAGAAATGTTGCCTCAAGTACCAAAAAGCATTTTGTGTATCAGCTCAGTATAGTTTCAGACTGCAAACTTCTGTCAGACTACTGCTCCCCTCATGCAAGCCTAGGCCTCTGTACTACTCTTTTCTATTTTTTGGACAGCTCTATGTCTACCATGATGACCACTGCTTGTTTTGCGGCACTCAGAACTGGCATTTTATATTCTATATACAGTGCACTTAATGGTATATGGGACACAAAAGGTACTGTGAAAAACTTCTATGTTCAATCAAAAGTGACAGGATATGTCACAAACAATTTATCACTCTAGAACTAACTTGTGATCCAAAAACATCTTTGCTGTGCAAAAACTGATGTCTTTATGGGGCAAACACCAAGGGGTACCTGACATGCTGTCGTCTTCCTCTTCTTGTTGCCTCTCCATAACCTTTGATAGAGTCACCAAAAACACCAATTATCTACAAGAGAAAAGAGGTTTGAGCTGTCAGAAAGGATCACATACAAACAGGTATTCCAGTATCAGTTCACATCTCTGCTGTGAATGCATCTCCTTTTAACAAAACGCCCCTGGAGAATTTAACATGTCAAGAATAGAAGTGTTTATGAAAGAAAACAGTTAAGGAAAACTCCTCTGTATTCCAGTCCTTTTTATTCTTTACAGTCCCATACTAAATGTCTAAAATAAATCCTGTTGATATCGTCCATTTGCACTGTTCTCTGAGATGAAGACATGTAAACTGACATTTTGTGTAAAAATAAAAAAAAGGACAAAATATTCGCTCACGTCTCCTCCAAGAGAATATGTATTAAAGTTTAAAATGTAAATGCACTCCCCCTCATATTATCTAAAAACACTACTGAATAAGAAATTTGGTTATCTTTTTTCAGATCTATAGAGTCAGAGTAGATCAACTTAGTCTTAAACTTACTTTAAATTTGGTTAGAAGTGGGGGTTAAGTTTTATTGTGCAAGTACTGGAAAGAAGTTTTAATTCTACAAACTTGTTCCAAAGCAGTCTTCATTTTCATTTGAGCAGCAACTTGTCACTTAATTTCTAGGTTATCCTCAAAGGCATCTGTGGCAATCTTTTTCGAAGGATCTTTTATCTGAAGTAGGTTTTTTAAAAATCTAGTTTCATATTGATTTTTTTGTTTACACCTAGCTATGACAACTGTGTGATCCCATGACTCTTCTACACCTGTATTCCAGTTAGCCAAAAGGATGCTAATTGTGCTCCAAATAAAAAATTTAAATTCCTAGGTATCAGTGCAGTGCCTCACAGAGTGACAGAACCATAGTGAAGCGTCACAATGGAGTAAGTGTGCTGAGAAAAGGCAGCAGGTAAGATCTAGAGAGCTTAGTGGGTCCAGTTGCCTCTCTGACCTGCAGAATTCAAGTGCTGCATTTAGCAGGCACTCAGAAAAGTCCCTAAGACTTTCTGTATGGTGACACAAGCACATGCTCTGAAGGGCAGACTGTATTTCCACCACTTTTTATGCTGTGGCACACTTAGTTGGCTTCTAGCAGGCTAGTTCACACAAGCTCAATGCTTGCACTGACTTGTCCTAACAGAGGCTCTGCTCTGGAGCAGAGCCACCCCATGCCAACTAAAGCACTGGCAGAACTGCTAAAGCACCATGTGGGTCTTCATGTAGCTTGTGAAACTCCTTGCACGAAGGGAGGCTCTGCTCTGAAGCAGAGCCACCCCATGCCAACTAAAAGCACTGGCAGAGCTGCTAAAGCACCATGTGGGTCTTCATGTAGCTTGTGAAACTCCTTGCACGAAGTTTTGACTTGAATAGAGACAGAACTACCAAGAAACGCAAACTTATGACTAAAGTTCAAAAACCAACCTCGGGGTGAGATCTGCATTTCTCCAAGGCATCTCCATAGATCTTATTTGGACTAGAAGAAGAGAACAGCTCTTTAAAAATCACATAGAACAAACCACCTGTAACAGAAACAACATCAGATGCAATGAAAACTTTTCAAAGCAGATGGAATTAATGAAAAGTGTTTTCTGATAAAGAATGTAATTTTAAAAAATAACCTGTAACACCAAGTCCAACAAGCACCACAATAAAATAGGTAAAGTCTCTTCCAGCTTCTTTCACTGAAATGAAACACAAAACAACACATAAATTACAAAATTGGATAATAACATTTTTATGACCTTCTTACATGAATGCTCTTCTGTTAGTCTGTAGCACAAATAACATTTTAGCAGAAGAGAAAGTTCCAGTAACAGTTTCCATAGCGCATCACTGATGTGAAAGAGACCATGGAACATCTCTTATATTGTACAGGGCATGTTTATATCTCTGTGTTAAGCAGGGCATGTTTATATCTCTGTGTTAAACCTTATTACTTTGCCAGATGTTTTCAAGATCCAAAGTAGCAATTACTGCTACTTTTTGGGTGCATGGGAGCCAGATTTTTCAGGAGCTAATGAGGTGTTTAGCACTGCAGTATTCATGCTACCACCTAAAGCCACAATCACTGAAATCCTTATGCAAAGAAAAGAAGTAAAAATAAAGAAGTAAAAGGCTATAATTTGCACACACTGAAAATAACTGATTTTATGAGTTTGCAATCAATAGAACAATAAAAAGGGGCATATCAGAACAAAATAATTTAAAAAAACCATAATTAACTGCTGTTTGTCGGATTAGTTTTTATATTCCAATTTTGATCTGAAGTGCAAGTGTTAGTATATACTGCAATATAAGTCATATGACATTCTATGTTTCAAAATATTTGAGTACTTGGAAAAAGACTACTATCTTTTAGTGATAAAGTGTGCATTTCAGTGGAGTACAAGTTATGGAAGAAACATTAACTGTTTCTTCTGGAGTCTTCTAATCAGTTAAAGGTGTTTTTTGTAAGTAATTTCAAAGTACTCAAATTTTCTGAGGCTAATTATGTAGTAACCACTTTTCACTGAAGTGAATAAGAACAACTAAAGTGAAGGCAATCCATAAAGAATCTACCATCACATGTCGGGCTTTGAAAATTTTGTTGGAGGTGAACTTACTCCAAGAGACATACAGACAGGCTGCATATGATAGGTTTTCCTTCCGAAATGGAAAATGAGAGCCTCTTACATCTTGTGTCTGATACCTACTTAGATCAACAGGCTGTCTAGAAGTCATATAATTTGTTCTGATTGTGCAATGCATACACAGAAATGTAACATCTGTTCCAAACAATACGATGGGAAAAGAAACCGGCTTGGAGTGCTGAGGTTGTTTTTTTTTTCTAGATACTTGATGTTTGGAACTACAAAACTTTAGCAGCAGAAGGAACAGCACAGAGCATCCTCCCCCTTACCTTTCTGAGCCGCCGACACCAGCGTTTCCTCGTTCAGCGCCCTTTGCACGGACACATCCTTGCTATCACCGCCAGGTTTTGCAGCTTTCAGCCGTCCCGCCTGCGTCCCGAAGCTCTGGCGGGCGGCCCTGAGCAGCAGCGGGGGCTGGTGCCGCCACCTCGGGCAGGAGCAGGACGCGGCGCCGGCGCCCAGGAGCGCCCAGCCGCGAGCGGCGAGCAGCCAGCGGCCCAGGCAGCCCCGCCCGAGGGAGGCGGGCAGCGTGCGGGGCAGCACGCCGGGCATGGCAGCGCCGCGGCCGGGGTTTGTGCCGCCCGCCACCGCTCTCCCGGGAAGCCCTCGGGGAAGTGCCCGGGCAGCCTCCCGCCCCGAGCGGCCGCTGCCCCAGCTCAGGAGCCCACCTGAACCTTTACCGCCGCTGGCCGCTGCCCCGGCGGAAATGTTTGGGACGGCGGAGCAGCGAGCGGCGGCGGCGGGCCCTGGGAGCCGTAGTTTGAGCGGGCTCCCTCTCCCGCCCGCCGCCGGGAGCGGCTCCCAGCGAGGTCACTACAGCGCCCGCCATGCCCAGCGCCGCCGCTGCCACCGCTACAGCCCGCCCTCCGCGGGCGGCACCCCGGCTCGTTTCAGGGGTGGGGGGCTGCTCGCAGCGCCTGCGGTGCCGTTCACCCTTTTAAAGCTGTGTTTTCGTACATGGTTTTCTTGGCCTCGCACACATGTATGTGTTAAAGCGATGCAGTTGACGTTTCCACGGATGGAGACGGCTAGAGGGATCTGGAGAGACTAAATGGATGGGCTGAGATCGACGGCATGAGGTTCAGCAAGGTCAAGTGTCAGGTCCTGCTCACAACAAGCGCAGGCAGCGCTGGGGACAGAGTGGCTGGAAAGGTGCTGATGGAAAAGGACCTGGGGGGGCTGATCGAGAGCTGCTGAACGTGAGGCAGTGTGTGCCCAGGTGGCAAAAGCCAGTGGCTTCCTGGCCTGTGTCAAAACCAGTGTTGTGAGCAGGACGAGGGAGGTGATTGTGCCACTGTACTTGGCACTGTTGAGGCCACACCTTGAGTACTGTGTTGAGTTTTGAAGCCCTCGATTTAAGAAGGACATTGAGCTGCTGGAGTGGGTCCAGAGAAGGGCAATGGAAGTGGTGAAGCTGGAGCACAAGTCTTAAGAGGAGCGGCTGAGGGAGCTGGGGATGTTTAGCTTGGAGAAGACGAAGCTCAGGGGGACTATTTTACTCTGCACAAATCCCTGGAAGGAGGCTGTGGCCAGTCCAGGTGGGAGACAGCCTCTGACAAGAGGAAATGACCTCAAGTTGTACCAGGGGAGGTTTAGGTTGGGCATTAGGAAGAATTTCTTCACAGAAAAGATGATTAGACTTTGGAATAAGCTGCTGAAGGAGGTGGTGGAGCCACCGACCCTGGAGATTTTCAGGGAAAGACTGGAATTGGCACTTGGTGCTGTGGTCTAATTGACATGGTGGTGTTTGACCACAGGTTGGACTAAGTAGCCTCAGAGGTCCTAATTAATTCTGCGATTCTCAGACCCGGATTCCGAGAGCTCCGAGCTCACGGTAGGCCGGGGCAGGCGCCAGGGCGCTCATGGCGCAGCACGGCCGTTCGGCGGCGCGTTAACGCTTCCCGAGCACCGCGCACGGCCGTGCTCCAGCCCCGCCTTCCCCGGGCCGCGCTCCCGGGCACCGCCTCCCTCGGGCTACCGCCGTCCCACCCCGCCCCAGGGAGTTCCACGGGCGGTGGCAGCGCTTGTTCCTCCCCTCCCCGCCGGTGGTGCGAGGCCCCGCTGTCCGCGGCGCAGCGGCCATGGCGACGGGCCGTGGCAGGTAACCGCGGGCGCGCCGAGCGGGGCTCTGCCGGCCCGGGGCTGCCTGCTCGGCCTTCTTCCCCTTTTCCAGGGAGGGTGGTTTGCTGTTTTCCCTCAGCTCCCATTGCTCCTCTGGGAAACTTACTTCACCTGCTCCTCGGCTCTGGTTTCTGGCTCTTGACTCTTCACGGCGAGGGCTGTGGCCATGGTGCTCTTCCCTCCCTACCCTGGCTCTGTGAGCACCTTGCAGACTGAAAACGCTGGTGGTGCCAGGTGCATGGACGCCTGGGTTTAACACTTATTTTCTGTCTGGAAAGGGGAGCTTAAATTTCGGTATGTCTTTCAGCTTGGAGGAGGTGCTGCAATGACAATACACAAAGTTAGTTTAATGGCTACTTTATGTGTATTCGGGGTAGTTAGGCCTTTGTAATAAATAGGAGGTGCAAGGTGTGATTACCTTAATTCTTACAGTGCAGGTGCAGCTTTCAAAATTTTAAAGCATCAGTGTGAGAGGCAAAGTTGAGAAAGCAGATTTTTCTGCTAACCCATTTCTTCAGCCCTGTGTTTCAGAGCAGTTCATTCCCCCTGCTGGTTTTGTTGTTTATTTTTTGGTTATTTTTTTTAACCTGCAAATGGATTGGGGTAATACCCACCTTTTAAAAACACTGGAATTGTTTGCTGAGGGAACAAAACTCAACCAACCCATGTCAAAACATTATTGTTATTTTTGTTTATCTCCAGATACACTTTAACAGGTGGACGGGACAGGTTTTATAGACGAGAGTTGTTAATTTATTTTGATTTTGTTTATCTTTGAGCATCAATTAATCTTAAATCAAAACCAGTCGGCATTAAATGTATGTGGTACCCTTATAGTTTAAAATTGCCTGTTTCCCCCCATATGGATTGGTTGCCTAGAAACCCAGAGCTGGTTTGGCTAGGTGTTGGAAATCTTCTGGCAATTTAAAACATCAATAATGCAGTGAATGGGGAGCTCTGACTGCTTGGTGGCATTAGTGGGTATGAAGTGTAAGGGATTCGTTTTAAGACTGAAATTCTGTCTCCATATTTCTCTGTGGATTAATGATAGTATTTGTTTGCAATTACAGCTTATGAAGTCCTTCCTATCAGAAAACTTGGAAAAATGTGTGAGTGGTTGGATTGTAAGAATCTGTGTTAGAAATATGTAAAGCTCCTTTCTTTTCTGTCCAAATTGTGATGTGGAAGTGTTGCCAAAATACGCTCTTTCACTGTGGTGTGCAAGAGGCCAATCCAAACACAGGGTTGAGGTATTTGATGTATTTGCAGTTCTGCACAGAAGGGAGTGCTGGGTGGCAAATCCACAGAGCTGACACACCAACTATTAAAATGTTTTATGATTTTATGCATTTTAGCTAAGGGAGGAATTAGTTTTCATTGGCTACAAGTTGCATAATTCTCTTATTAATTGGTTTTCTGTCTTCTATTGGGTAATGATTCTCTTGATTCTCACGCTAATTACTTTGCATGTTCAGTCTTTATCTCTTTTGAGTCAGTGAGTTTCTTGGGTCAGTGATCGCAATCTCACATTTCTGGAAGCTGGAGCTGATTTCAGCACAGTTGCTGAGTTGGTCTCACATTTCTGGAAGCTGGAGCTTCAGCACAGTTGCTGAGTTGGCTTTAATAATTTCTTCCTTATCTTGGGAGTTGTTCCAGGTATCCTTGTGGCCTGTAAATTCTGCATTCTTTGTGTCCACTAGTAGTGGCCATCCTTCTTCCCAAGCTTTGTTAACCTCCCCCTAGGTCTGAAATCGGTGAAGCATGTCAAGCCCTAAACCTCAACAAAGCGATTCTGCCAACAAGTAATTTGTCTGTCTAACATCTGGACATCCCTTAGAGGTTGTTAGCTGCCCTCTGTTTCATGGCTTAAATCTCCTTTCTTGCTGTTTATGCAAGTAAACAGCATAGTATAGTATGAAAGTATACAAATTCTTTTTGAACTGCAAGAGTTTCTGAGGAAGTTTCAAGATGTTGTTTTCATTTGGTATCTTTTAATGGCTTAGCAAAGTTGGGTGGCTCAAAAATATCTCTGGAGTAATGTGGTGAAACAGAAGATTAATCAGTGAGTGTGACTTGCTGCTGGGGCCTCAGTGGAGCTTGGTGTTGGTGGCCAAGCAGTGCTGCTGCTGTCTAAAGGTAATAGATTCAAACTGATTTGGGGGAACACTATTATTCCGTTTGCCTGCTGTGAGAGGTCAATCACAGGATTAACAGCTGTGACTTTAAATCTGAATCTTCCTGATGCCAGGTATTTTAACTTGGGTGTAATTGTTCGAGTGATAATGGTTGCCATGTGATGTATTCCCTGCATCCTGCATTGGTTAAAATGTTGTGTCTAGGTGTGCACAGTATGTGTATTCCTTCATTTTGTGAATATGTGATTCTTAACAGCTTTTCCTTCTTACAAGTAGGTTAAGGACCTTTGCTGCCAGGCCTAGGGCATGTTCTGAAATGGTAAATGCTGGAATTAAAAATCTGTACTTGACACCTCCCATAAAACTGAAACCAAATGTGCGCATTGAGAGGTGAGTATGTCTTTATGTTAGGAGTAAGAGTGGAAGTCCCCCTTAAGCTGTCTTTTGACTGCTTGCAGTAATGATGTTCATATCTTGAAGATTTCTGTGTCAGATACTCCGAGTTGAAAAGGTTTGCCTTTCTGGCCTACGTTAGGATCCTGTGTTCACCTTCTAATGTTTTCTGGCATGGTTCTCCTTTGTGTTCTTTTCTAAGCTCATAAGGAATATATATGTTTTCCAAGCTGTGTGAAGCCTTCAGCAGCTCCTTTGCAAGTCATGGGCACTCAAAGTAATCTAAGAATGTTTTACCTGAAAAAGTAATTAGTTTTCCTTGTTTTTTACATTTGATAGCTTCCTATGTAGTGATTTCACTGTTTTGCATTGGATGGCCAGTTTAGTACCTCAATGCTGTCAGACTGGTGTAATGGTGAGAGAAAAAAGAAAAAAAATCCTTTCAGCTTCCTTCAAAGGAAAAAGAGTATGGTTGAAAATTCTGGATCAAGCGTATTATTTTAGCTAATCTTTAGCTTTTTAAGATATGACTTATAAATTGTCTCTGGAATGAATGCATTACCTGCTTTGGGCTTACAGTGTATGAGTTATTTCACATAATAACAGTGCCAATTTTGGCATGTTGCTTCTGTGTCAATGCAACTAAGATTCTGAGTTTAATACAAACATTGAGGTAGCGGCATTATCATGCTACTCTTTAAAGGGTACCCTCTGCTTCTGAAATAGTGTTATAAATCAGCAAGTGTTGCAAATAACCCAGTAGTAAAAGGACAAGAGGCACAGCTGGGGTGTTGACTTTCAGAACACCTTTTATTTGCAGCAGTGATTTTGATGTGACCATACTCAATGCTCAAGAAAATGAGAGTATAAAATTCACGTGTCTTAAACTCTGTGCAGTTATGAGGTACTGCTCAAATGGTACGAGGTTCCTGTCTCTTAATACAAAAATCACATTGGCTCATCTCCAGGGTATGTTCTGCTTGCCATGCTTAGACTGGCACTTGCATTTCAGGCAGCCTTCCAGATGCACAGAGACATTGACATTTTCAAGATATCATTTGGCTCTTACTTTGAAGTTCACATCTTTCTGTTGACATAAGTGAAAACTGCACAAGACCCCTGAGCATGTACAGTTTGAAGATTATGATGAGGTATAGCATAATCTTGCTGTTAGACTAGGACATTTCTGTCCTGGTGCATCCTGAGACCTGACACCACAGTCAAAAGGGAGAGTGAATATATCTGCAGTTTTGCAAATGCTGGTGTTTATGGAATAAATGTTAAAATCATAGTAAAAGCAGTAAGGAGCTGAAGCAAAATGAGGTAGTTTCATGTCAAACATAGTTAAAGTTAACAAAGTTTAATGTAAATGCAAACCCATAACTTTTCATGTAATTGTGCTATGCCACTTGAATAAGTTGTGATGAATTATTTTAGGCAAATGCCACATGCCAGAGAGTGAAATTAGAACCCAAACTTCACAGTTTAACTCTTCAAGTGATTTTTGATTAATCTGTTTACAACCTGCTGTTTTCCACCTCTTCTGGTTTTGTCTGGTTTGAAACTAAAATTCTCTGCCATTGTCATTTCTGAGTTTGCAGGCAAGTCTAACAGTATTCATTTCTGTTTTCCAGCATGCCATCAGAAATGCTGCTGAAGATATTTTCCTATTTGGATGCTGTGTCCCTATTGGCTGTTGGTTGTGTGAATAAGCGCTTCTATGAGCTGGCCAATGACAAGTAAGGAAGAAGAAAGATCTCAGTTGTGCTGTAGATGTGTTTGCCTGAATTATGAGTCCTCCTAATTTAGTTTCTCAGATGCCAGAGCAGTGATGCATGCACCTATTGGGCAGTTACTCTGCTGAAGTTGCCCTGCATAGCTCACAACAGCATGTGTTGCATGGAATTCTAGCTGTGCAGAGCCTGTTGTGTATTGGGAGTTAGGAGGCAAAAATTAAATCCAGTGCTTTGAAATGTTGCTGTTAGCACTTTTTTTTTTGTTTTAAAATTTATTACTATTTCTTTGTATTCACATGGACCTGCACAAACTTTTCAGTTCAGGGGATCCTTAATGGTGTGTCTCCAGTAGCTTTATGGAATTGTCATAGCTTTCAGAGTTTTGAAGTCTTCCTTAATTCTTTCATCAGGTTTTTGCAGAGGGATTGATTCAATCAAATGATCCACTAGTGGTTTTTATCTGTTGCTCAGATAAACTCTGTGAAGTTTTAGTGATTTCTAAATGAGAACAAAAGAGATGAAGGTAAATACCAACAAAATTTTTTTCTAAGGATTGCTTATACAGAGTTAATAAATTGCTCCTACCAATATGATGATAATTTTGTCAAAATGTAAAGAGGAGAGGCCCAGGTTGGTATGTGATAACCAGGATCTGGGCATCCTTTTCTTTATAGGATTCTACTGCATTAATGTTTGAATAAGAGAATGTCTTCCTCTATAGGAAGTTGCTGTACCTGGTATGAATCTATTTCTCCCTTTTTTACTGAAACTTGTACGGTGGATTAATTGGTTTACCTTGGCATTGATACCTTTAGAACTGATGAATTTAAAGGGAAGATCTGTAATCCAGATTTGGTTTTGAGGCTGTCAGCAGGTAAGGATAGATAAAAATTACATAGTTGACACAAATTACCAATCTTGGCGTGTGTTTTCCATTTCAGGGTGGTAAGGCAGGATAAAATCACTGTGGCTGTCCAGGGGAAGATAATTCATCTGTCTCCATCTCGACGATCTCTGTTTCCATTTTCTAACCAACAGAGATTAGTGTATGTGCACAGATGGGACTTGGGGAAGAGTTACTTTCCCTTATCTAGGAGCCTGACTGGTTCAGTGGGACCAGGTCATTTCTTCCTGATGAATTTAGTGGACCTTCTCAAGACTCTGAGTCTTGCAGTGTACGAACAGAAGTTTTAATTGAAGTCTCTGCATATTTCTGTGACAAATCTGACCTTGGTTTTTAGACTGAGTATCTTTTTTAGGATATTTCTGCTGTCCTTGATGTACAGGGTGATGTTCTTGATGCAACAGGACCATCAGTCTTTCATTGTGATATGTCTGTGTTGCCTAATGCAGTGATTTGTCTTTTGGCTGTTCATATAATGTGTGTGCTTGAGCAGTTCTTGCACTGACGTCTCCAATATAACTGTTGAAGACAAGGAAATGTTTATGACCCTTCCCTTTCTGCATGCTCCGTGCCCTAGCATGGAGTATTCCAGCCTTCCTGTCATGCAGTGTGGGAAGTTCACAGATATGGTCTGCCTGTGAAAACTTGAGGATTCTGATCACCAGCAGAATGTGCTTGTGTGAGAGGAAGTGAGAGCACAGGAGAAAGTCTTTTGCCATTGTGGTCAAGGGATGGCTGATGATGATGTGTCTGATTCTGGCATTTGAGTTAGCAGTAAAAGGTTTGTTTGGCTTGTTCTAGTAACGTCCAGTAAGAGGCCTTGAGATGAGTATTAACAATCTGAGGCAAGAAGGGCATGTATTCTGCTGTGAAAGAGGCAAACTTGTGCTTCCCTGTTGGATGCCTTTTTGATTTATCTGTCCTGAATTCTTCAGAAATTGAGGATGAGGGGGCAGTGATACCTTCCTAAACACTTGTGATTCCAAGTTCTCCTTTATCTTCTTCTCTGTCTCCCTCACCTAGCTGAATATTTGAGTTTCTTGAACTAATTTCTTTGCTTGCACAACACTGTTTTGGGAAACAAAGAAGCAATATGTTTCTGGGAGTGAGGATGAGGTTGGTAGGTGTTTGTCATTAGTCTGTTTTCAGTCAACTAAATCGCTTGAGTCTGCAACTTCAAAATGCTGGAAATGCCTACTACTAAGCCCTCTCTTTTCAGCATCATACAGTAAGATGCAGAGTATCTCTCTCCATCAAAGGATGTCTCACTGGGAGTGAGGATGAGGTTGGTAGGTATTTGTCATTTGTCTGTTTTCAGTCAACTAAATTGCTTGAGTCTGCAACTTCAAAATGCAGGAAATGCCTACTAATCCCTCTCTTTTCATCATCATACAGTAAGATGCAGAGTATCTCTCTCCATCAAAGGGTGTCTCTCTTGGGAAGGGGTTTCTAGTTAACAGCAGAGTTTTATAGGAAGTTATTTTACTGGACTTTTTAGGCTGGTGAAGACCAATTGGATGATACAAAGCTCAAATTTCCCTGGTGATGTTGTATTAAGGACATCTCTTCTTTTTCGATCGCTGGACAATTCTAAACTACTTTGGAGTTAAAAAGTATTTCCTTTCTCCATCAGAATAGTTTTATGCTATCTGGTAACTTGGCTGCCTTTTATGGTCTTAAAATAGAAGTATCTTAAAACTTTCAGTTATGGGATTGTTCTTTATGTTACCCTTCCCACCCTGCTTTTGGTGAAAGGAAGGTTGAAAACTCATGTTGACTGTGAACCCACCTTTACCAGTCACATAGCTTATTTATTGGTTTGTGTGTTTTAGACACTTTTGTCTCAAAAAATGGCAATGGGGAATTCTGTATATATCTGTAGAGCAGTGGGCTGGAAGGTTTTTGCAAAATCCCTGAATAGGTTTGCATCAATAACCAGAGCCTGGCTCTCAGCATGTGGGGGCTTATTCTCAGTGGCTGATGAATTGAGAATGGTTTTGATGGGTAGGAGGCAGTGTGGGATGGATCTAGTCCTTGAATGCTTTGAGGAGAGGGGAAGATGCCATAAAATACTCAGCAGTGTAAGTTTGCCTGAGGATAAGTGAGAACTGGTAAAGGTAATCTTGCTGATAAATGGTGCAAAATGTCTCTTAAGAATTTGTTGCCCTTGCTATTCATTTTCTTTAGTGCAGTTATGTACACTATGTGTCTAGCACTTCAAAATGAGAAAACTTATTGGCAACCTGTATTCACAGATTACTGTTTGAATACTTGTAGGTTCCTGTACTCAGTATTCTGTGAACTGTCCCAGACATACTGGAGTATGAGGGGCTGAATGTGACCTCAGTTTTCCTGGCATGAAAGAGATGAACCCATCATTACAGTCACATATTTCTTTGACTTCAGAAAGTCATGTCTTGTCTGGGCTTTTCCAAAGAGAGTGCAGAAAGGATTGTCATGACTTTGGTACCACCAAACAGAGGTGATTCTAAATTGTCCTCCTCCACACCGCTTTCAGCTGGATCTGAGAAACTTGAAGTGTACAGATTATTTTTGTTGAATAGGAGGTATTAAACTGCTTTTTCCACTAGCTGATTTTCTGTGAGGATGATGCATCATTGTTTTGGGGTGGAATTTTCAAATTTTTTTGCTTAACCTTTATCAGTTTTCACTTACTTTGCTGACTATGACTGTGCTATCACAGAACTTCATCCTGGCTCCCATATCTTCGGGAAGACAGACAAGACTGTTTCTGTGCTAACACTATGCTCAGTAGTAGCTGAGATGTGCATTTAAAAATGAAGTGACTGTTCTTGAAATTTATTCCTCTTTATTCTGTTTTTATTTTCAGTGGAATTTGGCTGAAACTCTATTCCAGATCTTTGCACCCAAAATGGACAATTTGGAAAATGAAGTCTAAACAAGCAGAAACTGTTTCTTTGGCCTGTGCTGCTGTACATGATAAAAAGCCTGGATACTGGAAGAAAGAATACATCTTCAAACAAACATCTGCCTTCAAAGCTAGAGTAATGCGGCTTGTTAAATTTCTAGATCCTTATACAGGTCTTCCATGTAAAAACAAAGAAGCTATGAAGTAAGCAATGCCTTGTCACAAAGATTTATTGAGAGCAGTGTACAAAATATTAGTGACTTGGGGAGGTATAAAATTAGAGCTAAAAAATGTATATCATAATGGGAAGATACAGTGTTAATCTATAAATGACTGAAACTGAGGAACATAAGCAGCAGCTAGTAGAAATTTAAAAATTCTGTTGCAAGCATAGTTTAAGTTTTGTCACTTTGGGAATTTGTTTTTAAACACCCCTCTCCCCTCTCTACTCCTAAATAACAGAGTCTCTGGGTTGAGTTGGATAATTGTTCTAGAGGACAAAAATGGAAAAGAACATGTAGTAGAGAAGCCAAACCTATCATTTAAGGACACATCTGTTACCGTACTTTGGCATGGTACAGACTGGCCATGCTTAGACATGCTGTCAACCCTAAAACTGTTTGGAGTTACACCATTGCTTCCTGACCAAAGCATACCTCCCAACAAGAGTGGGTGAGTTTTAACACAGGATTTTTAAGGATTTTTTGGGTGCAACTGGTTGATAATGTGTCTGTACAACCTATCTGACATTTGTTTGACTCAGTAAGTTAACTCTTCATTAGAAAGCCTGCCTGCAGTATTTGTTTCTATGTTCTTCTCTTCTTTGGTAGAGTTTTTCAGCAAGAAATAGTATAAGCCAGCAAGATTATGACATTAATTCATGGGTTAATGTAGCTATTGGCTTGTGATATGCAGACTGATAGGTTCTGATTTGGAAAGCCAAATCTAAGGTATAGACACAAATGAACATGAAAGAAAAATGTAAATCCAGGAGAATTTATTGTGAGAAATTTAGCTTGGAAAAGTTAATCAGTATTTAGGTGGCTACAGTCAGGTAATCTATGTTGTTAAAATTTATTTCCTGTCTGGTAGGTGTGTATGTGAATTTAGAGAACTTGGTGTTTAACTATGCATGCAGTCTTCAGTATATGCATATAAAGTCACACAGTCCACAGCATGTCTCTTGTTTTTTAACTTAAATGTGTACAGTGGTTTTTGTCATTATATTCTAAAAATATATTTAAATGAAAAGTGTCTATTTGAGGTATTTGTTTGCTGTCCAGGAGTTTAGCGCACATCTGGGCCTATGTGTACAGTAGGTGCAGTGTCAGCTACATGCTCTTCTTGCACAAAGTCTCTAGCCACAGAGCTCTGAAAAGAGAGAATTGTTTACCTACAAAACACTGGGTTCCTCAACCAGAAGAAAAGTATTTATTTAAAAAAAGAAATAAATCAAGAGAAGCTTTTGCTTAAAGTTAGCTAAACAAGTCTTGCAGTCAAATTATGTAGGAAATGTAGTTGTTTTATCAAGATGATGGTTCATATGTAGAAAATGAAAAAGAAAGCTTGCAGGCAATTGATGTACTTTTTTCACAGAGTTACAGGTTTTTACAAATTGTGACTATAGATGAAGGCAGTGGATTCACCAATTTCAGTATGTCATTGTTAAGACTGTAAGTGCCGGGACAGGCCTGATTGACTTAAAGATGGAAAAGGTTGATGTTGAAACATCATTTGTTAGTATGAAATCTCTTACTGTGAGGGTGGTGGGACACTGGAACAGGTTGTCTGGGAAGGTTGTGGATGCCCCATCCCAGGCAGTGTTCAGTGTGTAGTTGTAGGTGATACTGCAGTGATATCATGTGGAAACCTAGGGACTGTTTTGAATATAGTAAAAACCTAAGTCTGAAAAGGATTTTAGAAAAACTTCTTTCTTCATTCTGAATAGGTAATGCAAACTCTACTTTCTGCTCTTTTTTTAATGCGTCATTAGTTAATAAGAATGTCCACGAACTGATATTTAAGAGTGTTTTGGAGCTAAATGGCTTTAATTATAGGTAAAATACAGAAAAAAAAATTCAAAAAAAGGAAAGCTTCCAATAACACAAACTTTTAATTCATTATATGTACAATTTGATAGTTTCCTTTGAATTTTGCTTCACGGTGATAAATGTTCAGTGATTCCATCTAGTATCAATAAAGTATCAAAACCAAATTGTAGAGTAAATCTGTATTTTGAAAAATTGGTCAAGCACATAAGTTCTTCTTTTTTAAAGTGTGTTTTAGAAGATCATATAGTGGTTTTTGTTTCTTACCTTGTTAGGGGTTGAGATCCTGCTAGTACACTGTGATTGTTCAAATGAGTTGATGATTCTGCATGCCATATGCTTTCAAAACTGTTTTCCTCATGTGCTGCTGGTCAGACTTCAGAGTTAAACATGTAATTAGGCTGAACTTTTACATGAATAAGGAGACATAACCTTTTTGCTACATTCTGTGTGTTCTTTTCAAAGACCTCGTCGATTTTCCTTGATTGCTGAGTACCATCTTGCTAACCTGACTGAAAATAGTGTAGTGGTTGGTGCTGATGAGCTTGTCCAGCTCTTCAGTCTGAGTCCAGGACTGTTAGTAGGAACTTGGAAGGTAAGATAACCTTTTGTTTCAGTATTTTACTGTTACTTGAAGAAAAATATTTTTTTTTTTTGTTTGGCTTGTAGTTTGGGTTTGGGGAGGTTGTTTTTTTTGAATATTTCTTTTTTTTTTTCCCCTTTGAATTTTGAAAGATCATGTCTAAACTAGTAACCACGAAACACATGTAGGGACAGTAAGTGGATGACTTAGTGTATCCTAAAGAGCTGTCGCTGGAATATATATACATTAAAAAAAACCCACTTCTAATTAAAAGATCAGTTATGTATCATTCTGTGTTAGATACTGTGTTCAATTTTACTTATTTTGCAGTCTTCCCATGCCCAAGTTTGATATCCTAGGATAATTTTCAATATTATGGTTTGAGAAGTGCTTCTTCCTGTGATTCATGCCTTTACCTGTCCATATCACTCCAAGTGATGAGTTCCTACATGGCAACTTAGCTTTAATCTACATCACCAAGTATCTGTATCCTGCTCTAGCAGTAGAGATGCTGTAAATCATGCCCTTTTGGGGGTATTAAATTCTTGGTATTAAGAGTCTAAGTTAAGCAGTTAGCCTCTGTAGGGTGGGTGCAGAGATGAATGTCTTTAGAGGGCAGTGCAGAACATCTGAAGTAAACTATGCAAAACGAATCTACATCTTTGCACGGAATGCACTGGGACCTCTGATGCTGTTGATGTCAGCTTAGGTTATTTGGCACTGGCAAGGAACTTTCCTCGAAGAGGCTGTGAGCAGTTCCTCAAAGTTGTGTCTAATTTCCAGCTGCAAACATGGGCCTCAAATGTGCACAATCACCAGAGGCAATGTTTAAAACTGCAGAAGGACTATTTCAAAGATAAGAGTGAAAGTCCATTTCCTAGAAAACTTGAGACTGCCTGACTGGCACAAACCTGTTACAGGTTGTTTCAGTCTGTGAAAAGCTCTGCTAAATGAATAACCATTTCTGTCATATCTTCAGAAGTTCTGTAGACTGGTGTCCCTGTATTGTTGGCTCTGTGATCTTGCGTATGCATTTGTCCCATCCATGCTTGGAAAGAGAGCTCTTTCAGCACCTGGAAATGGTTCAAACATAACCAGGTTCCACATAGTTGTTAAGAATCGAGTGCCTCACTCTAGTATATTGTCCCTGCTTGCTTTTCTGAACAGCAGTTCTTATTCTCTGTGTAGGCAGAGTAATTCGAGGTAGTTAAGTGTCAGTGGGTGTAATAATTGTCAATGCCATGCATCTTGTTTTTTTGCACATAGCTGCGTAACAGAAACCAAGGGCAGGTTACGTGGGCTTCCTGGTATTTGGCTGGAGAAAGACTGAGAAATTATGTGATTGATAGATCTCCCTAGTTAAATCCTTTACAGCAGTAATTTTGCACTGTGAAAATACAGGAGTAGTTAAAAAGCCAAAAGTTTGAATAGAGGATGTAATTTTGTGGCAACCCAGAGAGATGAAAATAGTTGCCCATATTTCAGGAGAGTAATAGACTTCTGGCAGTGACTAATTTTTCTATTGACTTAGGTGTTTGTAAATGTAGGATTTAAAAAATGCATTTAAATAAAAAAAAAACTGATATCCTAGCATTCTGTGTTTTTGAAGTAAATATGTGCCTCTGTCTCTATTTAGTTTTCACATAGATGTTTTCTTTGACTGTAGAAGGTTATGTTTTTAATGTTTTCCCAGGAGTAAATAATCTGGTGAAGACATGATTTTTACTTTGAAATTCACAATTTCTATTGAATAATTCTGTATTCCTCACTGATATTAGCCCTCTTTGGAAATAGTTCCTTACACATGAAAATAAACTTGATGCTTCAGTAGTTGGGAGTAAGTGCTGTTTGATTCTGTTCAGGTATCTTTTTTTAAAGTGGTAAGTAGAAGCTAGGCATGTACGGTTCTTGGATTGCTCTTATAATTTTTGCCTTGGCATAGCTAGCTTCCCTCTCTTCCCCCATAATACAAAATGCTGCAATCTTTTATATAAATTCTGTACTCTTCTGAAGAGACAGTAAAGGTTTTAGGAGTCCAAGTGTTAAAGCAAGCCATTACTAACGTTATTATAGTAATTGTCAGAGTAATAGGCAGCAGCATTTATCTATGAATTTTAATGCTCAGAAAGACCTTGTGAAAAAAAGAATTTCCAGATGAAAATACATCTACTTTAATTAACTTTTCAGGAAAAAAGTGAAATTGCTTTTGTTATGGCGAATCTTCATTATAATCAACTTCTTGAGAGAAGCATTTTGGGTTCTGCTACTGTGTAAGTTTGGTGTTCCTTTGTGTGTAATAAAGATAACCTTTTGAATAAAGCTTTGAGTTTTACAGTTAAAATTGGCTGCTTGTAAGAGGTTTATATTTAGGCAGTAATTAACCATTCTGGTTTAATATAAGCAACAGTTATAGTAACTGAATACAAACCGTAGAAGCATTTTCATACTAAAATATTGCCATTGTTATGCTATTAAGGAGATAATTTAGTTCTACAAGTGTACTGGTACTTTCTGTATTGAGAAAGTTAGAAATACACTGCCCATACTTTCTGCTTTTTCACAAGCAGTCTTATTTCCTCTTTCTATCTGAAACAGAAAGAAAAGAGAGAGACATTTCAGGAAGTAGGGAAGTAATCTTTGGCTGTGTAGGAGTGGCAAAAAAGCTCTGGTAAACTGGTGAGGTGCCTGCAGTAATCTTTCAGTCCTATTGAGAAAGTAGTTTGTATATATGTAGATTGAGAAGTGTTTGTGTATGTGTATATTGCAGTATATAGTATAATACGTGTTTAGCCATTGTAAACTTTGTTTTAAAATATGAATTTTTTAAGCTTCAGAATAGTATTTGGGGAATTTATTTCCCACTCATCTTTCTGGTCAGATGTTGTATCTACCAGGAGTCTTAAATGCCCTGTATAACTTAGTGTAGCTCTTCTCACACAGAATGTAAGATTTAACACCATCTCCCTTAATACAAGTTGAATCCTATGTAGAAGTTGCTCAGTTGTCTCTGTCATGTGGTCTCTTTAGGTCACTTGTGTGCAGTGGTTATTTAGTCAGGCACAGGCAAAATTATTTCAATATTTGCTATTTCAGAGAAGTCTCTAGAGCTAGTGTACTTAGAGATTTGTAGTTAGGCTGATGCTTTTTTCTTTTTCGTAGACAAGTCCATGTTTTGAAGTTTAACAGATGTACCTTTTAAAGTTGACTGCTGTATTTCTGCCTTTGGCTAGGCTGAGCAGTTGATAAGCAGTATTAGACACTGTATTACCTTGAAAGAAGCATGATGAACTAGAGATGTTTGATTTGAAAATTGAGATGACAGTCTCAATGTAGGCCTATGTGTTATATCTTTACTAAGTCATCCCCCACTTGCTAAATTCTATGTATTTTTTTTTTCAAGTCAATATGCTCCTCCACCTAATAAACCTTTACTGGATGATATTGACTCAGAATATGGACTGCATGACTACAGCCTGCATCTTGATCTGCATGGCAGAAACTGCATGTACCTGTGTGGATCCTTCAAGTGCCTCTTCTGCAGAAAACGTAAAGTTGATGGAGCAATGTCTGTTTTAAAAATTATCCCTGCTATATCTTTCCTTCTTATATTACCATTTTCTCTGTTTTAAGGGGTGAAACTTCAATGGAATTTTAATAGTAAGCTATCTTTCTGTTTCTGGCGTGGTTTCTTTATATCTGCATTGTGCCTTGTGTGGTGTCCTAAGCCAGCTCTGTAAAAAGTCTGCCTGCTGTTACATTGACACAGTGTCAGCCTGGGACACAAATTCTGCAGATTTTCAGGATCTTTTCTTTTAGCTACATTAATAATGCACTGGCACAGTTCTTGGTGCAGGTTGATGTTTCTTTCACTTGTATTTTATAAAGAAGAGATGGTTTGTCCTCATACATTTTGGAATCTAGTTTCTGTAAAATTCTCCTCAAGTATACTTTGGGTGCACAGACAGATTAAATATACAGATATATTTGTAGAAGTTACTGTGAACTTTAAGATTTATAATTTTTATTTTGGTGAGCTTAAGGTTGCCAGTTTTGACATCCTTTCATAGTGTGGAAAGCAATTTCAGTCTTCTTCTGCTGCTTCATTCTGTTCTCAGCGCTTCTTTCCATGAGACCATTCCTGTTGTTCTCATGCAACCCAACTTCATAACTTTACTGGGGTTTTGAAAAATACATGATCTCTCTTTTGACATAATTTCAGCATAACTTTCTAAGCTACGCAGCTGTCTTTCAGTAAGCAGAGACGGAATAAATATTAGAATTAAACACTGTAATTAATTTTATTTAGAATAAAATACTGTAAATTAATTATTGCTCCCCCGGTATTTTTTTTGATACCGGCACTCCTGAGCAGTGTGGATTTCAGAACATATCGTTTTTCTGTCAGTAGAGGGCGCTGTTGTCAGGCGTGAGTTCTTTTGCAGGGCTGCAAAATTTCCCCGTGATTTGGTTTGGTTTTTCTCATTTGTATTTGGTGATTTCAAGAACTGGCATTTAGACTGCAGCCTTGTGCAGCTTGGAGCGTTGTAATCCTTGAACCTGAAATATACATGTTTTGAGATTCTAGAAAAGCACCAAGCTTGAATTAAAAGAATACTTCTAAGGATAAAATTTCAGTGAAAGTCTTATGCATATAGCAAGAAATCTTACATGAAGTGTTGTGTAGTACAAGAGTCCTCTTCATGTTCTCAAAAAAAATCTTCTCAAAATTGGCCAGAGGATTGGGTTTTTGGGATTGCGTTGGTTTTTCTGGTTTAGCTGATTATCACGTTTTGTTTTCTAAAATGAATATGTTACACTCCTAGCAATACAGTTGCACAAGAAAAAGTATTATGTGACATACTTTCTTTCTTGGTATCACTTTCTTGCTGCTTAGAAGCTACTTCCACAAAAGATTAACGTGATGTTTATGCAAATTGAAGCAAACGTCCATGAGCTACAGTTGTGATGCCATCTCACTTTGCAAGTTACAGAAGTTGTGTTATATTCACAAGTGTTTTCTGAATTGCTTTGGTTTTGTGATCTTCAGCAGTGTGGTAGCCACCAGATTCTGGTCTCAAAGGACACCAGACAGCTGAAGCCATGGTTCTGCAGACAATAAGCTCATTTGTCATCTACTCCCTTCCATGTGCTTGCACAATAATTCCTTTTGGAAAATGCTTGACTGCCTCCAAAAAGGTGTAGTGAGGCAGCATATGGCTGTCTGCTGTCACATTTTTCATTGTGATTTGTTACTCATTTTTCTCATTCTGGTGAGGATGGTGTTGCTGAATGTGGCCAGGTTTATCCAAACTGGTTATGTTTGATGGTTTGTGTTTTGTTTTTAGGCTCCATTCTAATAATAGGCTTTGTTCCATCCTCTGGGAGGACTCTGAAGCATGGAAGTCCTGCAGCATATTGGGAAGTCTTGCTGTTTCTGAAAATTCTCTGTGCAGTCTAGTTTTATTTTAAATTACAGATGTGACATGCCCATGGCGGTTTCCAGAACTTGAGTGAGGCACATACCAGTTGTCAGCTAGTACTGTTTTACTTACTTATTGGTTTTTACTAGGAAGCTTTAGGCATTCCTAGGTTTCCAGAGAATGCCCATTTGTATTTTGCAGAATTTCCAGAACTTGAGTGAGGCGCATACCAGTTGTCAGCTACTACTGTTTTACTTACTTATTGGTTTTCACTGGAAACTTTAGGCATTCCTAGGTTTCCAGAGAATGCCCATTTGTATTTTGCAGAATAACTGATTTATTTATTGAAGATTAATTTTTGTCGGCTTTTTGGTAGTATCTATTAATGTGCTTAATTTTGCTACTCCATTTTCAATTCATTTTGCAGAATTCTTAATTTTAAAGTAGAAAAGGTTATGTCACACTTCATTGGACGAGGCAGATGGAATGTAAATGGCTACAGATTTTTTTTTTCTCTTATTATACTTGCATTATAGTAACTAGCTGTTTTGCCACTGTTTTGGTTGGGATTTAGCATTTTAATTTATGCTCCCTTTCATGTAAACAGAACTAGTAATATGGTGTCATTGACAGGTACTGTAGGGTGAATATGTTAAATGCTTTGTAACTGAATTGAAAATATTTAGAAAACTGTCCTTGTTTTCAGGAAGTTATGACAGGCTTTTCATATGACTCCCAGAAGCCATGAATCCAACTTCTTAATAAATATTTTTGAAATGTATTTACCTAGGTTTTCAACTTTTTAAGCACAGCTTTGTAGCCACATGGTAGTTTAAGGTTTCACTTTTCAATGTCGTTTCCTGTTGGTGTAAACTGATGTGTTGTGCTTGCAAAATGTAAGGGTTGATTTTGTGTGTTTAGAGAACTTTTAGGATTTGTTTGTAAAATTTCATATCAGGCATTTGAAATGTTTTGCTTGACCTTGAAGATTGATTTGCAAGTTTAAATAACCATTTCACTGTGGTAAGGTTGGTTGTTGGCACTTGAATTAGTGTTAAGCACAGCTTTTCCTCTGAAAATACCAAATAAATGACAATTTGCAACAAAGGCTTGGTTAGCAAAACAAACTTTCTTGGCTTTTAGCTGAAATAAGTGCTCTGGAACTATTGGTCTATTTGTTTCTTTCCCCTGAGGTTTGTCTACATGGTATATGTTCTCTTTGTTGGTATTACCTTTATTTGGAAATATTTGTTCCCTGTAACTTACTCTGCTGCTTTGCTGCTCTGCATGTCTTGCATAAATCAAGGACTGGAGATATTATAAGAGGACAATGAAACAACTGACTCAAGCTGAAGTGTTCAATTTGCTTCCTCTATGTTTCTCTTCATATGTTTGACATAGCTTAACCTGCCCTTTAATTTCATTTTCTTTTCAGATTGGTATGGGGAAGGGGAGATTTCAGTACTTAGCCTTCAATTTCTTGCTTCTATCTAGGCAGGCTTTTCTTTCCCCCTGAATGAGAGGACTGCAATGGAGCTTTTATATTAAAAAAAAACCAAAGTCCGGATTAACCAACCCATGAATAATTAGCCTGCAGATTCCTGATCTGTTGGCTATTTCCATTCTGGCTAGAGTTAAGGAGTAACTGCAACACATCATAGCCAGATGATCTATCTAGCAGGGGTGTATTTAATGCCATACAACAGTAGTGATATGCTGGGCTTTGTTAATTTGTTAGCAGAAGAATGCTTTTTTCAATCCATTTTTATTCCATTAAAACTTCATTTGATCTGAATGAGTAAGAGAAATAGCCACTTCCATTCATATTGGGATTGTGCATAACCAAGTAGTCCTTTTGGAAAAAATACTGGTTGACTGATGTTTTCAAGCTTCTTGTATAAAAGCTCAACTGTACATGTAGACTTTCAGGGTTAGTCAGTAAACTATTTCAATACGATATTTTTACCTTGAGTGAAATTTTGTCATTGAATTTGATTTACTGAGGTTTTGGAACTGAACCACTTGGACAGGTGTCAACTTACGGCCTTTCCCTACTTTGAGCTGGATCCTGGATATGAATTCTGCTTACAGTTTCCTCACTGATTTCTTTTGCACTTCACTGCAAGGACAGTGGGTATCACAGTTTGAAGGATTGCATTTTCCTTCAACTATACAAAGTATTTCCTATAAAATAATTTCTGGACATAGTCATGTTGGTTTCGCTGTATTCACACTACTATTCCAAACAGTGTCTGTACTGAAAAACCTGCAGCTGTTGTTCTCTGTCATGTGTTGGGTTTCTTTCTTTCCAGAATAAGTATTGTTTGGACTCCCCACTGGTGAGTGATGCCTTTCCAGCATTGGTTTGTGGCTGGCTGTATCTTGGGAGTTGCTTAGCTCTACAGTACCAATTGTGAGAAGTTTTTGGCCTCTGTGTTAAAGTGTGGGCTTTCTTTCTCCATCACTGCCTCCAACTATCTGCTTCAAGTAGCCACCAAGCAGAGGCTTTGCTGTCACTTCATGCTGGATGCAGCCACTGAACTCACAGCCAGCCTTTCTGATGTTTCCTCTTCTGTCTGTAGCCTTGTTCTGCTACTTGGGCTTGATTGAAGGAGAATACAGGCAAAACACTTCTGCCTTTTTTCACTTCTGTCACTTGCATCTTAAATCTCTGCAAGCCCCTCCACTTGTTACCTTACCATCCAGGACCTGCTACTGGATTTTGACAAGCATTATGTTCCTGGGAATCCTTCTCTCCCTTTCTATCTATCTCCTGCAAGTGCTAGGTACTTTCTTCTAGTGCTTTTGTTTTGGTTTTTTGAGAGAGTATCTCTTGTTCAAGGAAACTTGTTTAAGGGATGTCCTACCAAGAAATCTGCTTATGTCATGATGTGATGCTTTTATTTTCACTTGCCTGTGTAGTCAGATCATGTTCACTATGATGTATCCCAAGTTATAATTAGACTGCTGGATTCCCTGGTTAACTTTCCTTCTCTGATAGAAAAGGAAAAAAAAAATTAAAAATCTCAATCTCTTTTGAGAGGAGAGGAAGAGATTCCAAAGAAATATGGTTATATGTAGTAATAAAAAAATCACAAATCATAGTAATTCTGCCAAAAAAACCCCAGGGGCCTTGGAAAGCTATTTAAAAAATGAAAAAATCCATAATTTAAAAACTTGATTCAAATAAAATCATACTGCGTGTCAATTTAAATGATGAATTATCTTTTCTAAGGAGGAATAGTTATCTGTATATCCTTTGTATTGGGTTATTTGAGTTTCCAGTCAGAGCTGAGAGATTTAAATAACTTGACAAAAAAAAAAAAAAAGGTTGGGGAGGTATCTCATTGTTTTGTTGTGTGTTAGTGTTGAGCTTTACTTCTGGGGAATGGAAAGTGATGAGGCACTGGTGGCATGAAATTGAAAGGCTGAATGTGAAATTTATTCCTTGCACCCTTGTGTAAGTTCTTTAGATGGTATTCCTATTTTTTATACTAAAAAATACAAAATAATTTTTAATCTGCAGTTTCTACTGTGGATCACAGAACCAAGGCTCCAAACTGCAACTTAATTTTTCTTTAAAGTACTTGATATTTAGGTGTATGCCAGGGTTTCTTATTGGTGAGTGGGAAGAAAAAGACGTGGAAAGAAGATAAGAGAACATTAACAGTGTACTTGGGCTGAATTTGATTTATACTGCTGTAATGTTGTATATTGTTTATATTTTCAGGTGACATTGAAAATGGATACCTGAGGCTCAGAGTTGTGAACTTAAAGGATAATAGGAAGCACTTGCCTATTGTTGGGACACTTGGCATATGCTGGGAAACAGATGTGTTTAAAGGCAATGTAAAGGTCAGAAATATTTTTGTTTCTGGATATGCTTACCTCAAAACAGAATTTTGTTTGTGCATCCTAAATAGGCTAATTTTTAAACAGTCTTTTGATTTGTAGAAGCTGTATGTAACTGGACAAAACCTCTATTCCAATATTGAAAAAAAAGTGAATTTTGAGGAAAAGAGTTTTCTCCTTTCTCTTATAGGGTCTGGATTGCATAGTAGAGCCATTATCTGTGTGTAATTACTCCAGTGCTTTCCTCTCAGCAAAGATGCTGTGACTGGCCAGCCGGCTTGGAAATGTCGGACAAAAAATGTACTGCAGATGTACTTTTTGTGAGGATTTTTTTTTAAATTGGTGTGAGAGTGGTTTTTTTTTGTTTGGTTTTTTTTTTGTTTCTTTTGGTTTGGGTTTTCGGTTGGTTGATTGGGGTGTTTTTGCAAGCAATAAGCCTTGAACCTCTGGGGAAATACTCTGCAGTTCTGTGCCGTATATGCAGTGAAAGTTAGGAACTGCTGGGGAATGTTAAAATGCCAGTGGACACAGGATGCTACAGTCCACATCCACACAGTCAGCACCTAGCTCCAGTCATGTACATCAGTCAACTAGATTAACTCTTTATTTTTAGAGGAAAGCTCACACATTCTATTGGATGAAATTCCTAAAAGAATTCCAGACAAAGATTCAGAGAAGTTCTGTAGCTTTTGCAATAGTGGTAAAGGCACATATTTTTAAATGTACTGTATCAGCATGAATGTTTCAGAAGTTGTGAAAATTCTGATGAATATAATTTAAGCACTACTGAAAAAATCATCTAGTTCAACATTTGATTTCAATTTCAGCGCTTCTTTTGAAAAAAAACCCTCAGATGGATAAAACTGTTTCTTCTGCCAATCCTGTTTAAATGTGGAATGGAATACTCTTTGTAAGATGAGAGGTTTTTTTACCAAGGCTTGTAGTGACAAAATAAGGGACAAAATAAGTTTTTGTAGTGACAAAATAAGTTTTTAAACTCAAAGAGGGTAGATTTAAACTGGATATTGGGGGAAAAAGTAAGGGACAATGTTTTTAAACTCAAAGAGGGTAGATTTAAACTGGACATTGGGGCAAAAAGAAAAGCTAAAAAATTCTTTCTCCATGCTGAGCATGGTGAGGCAGGGGGGTTGGAATTAGATGACTTATAAAGGTCCATTCTAACCCAAATAATTCTGTGATTCTATACGATTAACAGCTGCTTGGCAGAATCTGTTCTTTTTAATGAAAAAGATCCTGAGTAGTACATAAGAATTTAGGAAGTTATCTGTCAGAGGAAACACAGAGCTATGGCTGTAGTCTTTAGTTTTTTCAGTTTTAGTCTTTCTCCTATGTGCTTACAGCATAAATTATATTGAATATTTGTTTCTAGAACAAAATAAAGAATACGGTTTGTTTTTTTTTAAACTCCTTATTTTGTGATAACAGATGGAACATGTCAGCAAAAAGCTGTGGGTTGAATTCAGTGTGGTTTTTACCTTAAGTCTAAAATTCTTAAAGCATGTGAAGGCTAAATAACATCAGCCACAGAAGCAGGACATTCCATTACTTTGAATTTATTTTAATTTTGTTTAATACTCTAAAGAAAACCAAAACCTGAAAACTTTCTTGACACTTCTGGGTTATTTAATACAAAATTAATTGCTGACATACGGATAGTTGGAAATTGTCATGGCTTAGGAATGGTATTCTCCAATTTAGTATTCTCACTGTAACCACTCAAATCAAACTCCACTGGCTTGCTTTCCCCTTTTTTTCCCCTGTGTTGGGCTGGAGAGGAGAACTGGAGGCACAAAAGGTAAAGATGAAGGTTGAGATAAGAGCAGTTTACTGGAAGCAGCAATGAGATAAGTAAGTGGAGAGTAGCAGCAACAATATTAATAACAAGAATGTGCAAGACAGGGGAGTGATTCACATGCAAATGCTCACTGTGGAGCGAAGCAAGAAGAAAGCCCTTTCCTTGCCCCTGGAAATGAGGTGAGGTGATAAAGAACAACCTCCCTGTCATAGCCATGCTCCCTCTTGGCTACTGCAGAAATTAACCTGATCCTGAACAGAACCAGGACAGAAATGCATGGGAAGACCCCACCATCCCACCACCCCACTTTACTTTTCATAATTGACCTTTTATATGCAAGTTGTCAGACCAGAAAATAGTGATTCTTTCTTGTTACCAGTGATTCTGTAGCTCATAAAAGTTTATTACACCATCATTAGGTTTGATTTGAATTTTGTATTTTCAGCATAGACTACAGTAAAAAGCTTAGGGGAACTGTGTGTATCATATTGCCTCATGTTTGTGCCATCTGCCCTTGTGTTGTTTGATTGAAGTAAAGTAATAGTGAAAGCAATGTTAGAGCAACAGAAGCACAACTATGTAGTACAGAGAAATAAAGCATTCCAAATGAATTTTTTTGGCGTGGAGTATGTGGTGTTGGTTTGTTTATGCTTTTGGAGCACAGATACAACATAATTAAGATAATTTGATTCATTTAATGATTCAGAACTCATGAGAATAAGGAACAGCTGATAGTAACAATGACACATTACTCCTATGCTTCCAAGGGATATGTGAAACTATCAGTTTGCAAAGACCAAGGAATTGGCATTAACATTTCTAAATTATCTAGTTGTGTAATCTTGTAAAGAAATATTTTCAAGAATTTGTAAGAGGAGGAATTACATCAAGGTTATTAATATTACCTTTTTTGGGAACTGAAGCTGTGAGCCTTTCAAAGAGAACTGTATACAGCTGGCTTGGAAGGGTAATTGTGTGTGTACTACCTTGGGTGGTCTCTGAGTATCTTTGCAAACATTGCTGCATTCACACAAGTTTAGTGGCCGACTTGAAACATTGGTTGCTTTCTCATATTGAAGGGAATATCATTATTTGAATAGTAAAGTAACTAATAGTTGAGAAAAACATGTGTTAGGGGCTTAAAAATGTTAAAAAGAAGTAATGTCTGATTTGGTTTGGCAGTGGTACCTTCTGTAGCACAGTGTTTGATGTGTGTAGGTTGCAATTTCGATTTCTGTGGGAAACCTCTAAGTTTTTGTTGCAGTAGGTCAATGAAGCACTATCAATTTTATTTTGAGGTTTTAGCCTTTGTACAAAACTCTCTCAACCATTGATACGTCTTCTAAAATCAGGGACAGTGTGCCATGACATAGAGAAATAATCTCTTCTGCTTGTGTTTGTAGGACTGCTTTGTGATGGATCTGACTCTCTTGGATGAAACTGGAAAGCCCTTCTGGTGTTTTAGTGCTCCAGTCCACATGGAATTGTCTACCAAGTCATCTGGCCTTTATGACTACATGGGTCATATCTATACTGCAGACTATGCAGATTCAGAGGGTAAAGTCTGTGTTGAGTTTGTATGGTTGGAAGAAACCAATGAATATATTATAGTCAGTTTGGTGCTTTATGTAAGCACTGAAAAGGTAAATAGCTGGTGTGGAACAAATTACTGAATTAATTAGGTCACTAATTTCCTTGCTTTAAGAACCAGACAAACAACTCTGCTACAAGAAAAACCACAATAAACCATTGATGCTTAAGATTGACACCAACAAGAAAGACTGTTGCTGCAAGTTTTCCAGTAACAAGTGCAATTGCCTAAATTTATGTAACAGGCAATTGAGGAATTAAAGAGACATTGATATAAGTGAGAGGTTTTCTTCTCTGTTGAACATTACATGGTTAGTCTGTTTCTCACTGGCTATATTGAAATTATTTTTAGGAGGAGTTTTCTTTATAGACACTTGTTACTATGGTTAAGGAATTGCTTCTTTTGAGAGCCATGCTGTGAAGATGCCTTACCTTACAAAAGCTACACTGGTTTTGAGAGCATTGACTTGTATGCTTAGTAATAAAACAGCATGTGTGCTGTTCCCTCCAGGTTTGTTGGAGTGTAATTGGTAAATGAGAAGTTTTGTTAAACACATTTTGTTAAACCCTTTTCCCGGAAAAACTTCACTGGAATATATTTTAGGAAACGATTGAAAGGCTAGATGGGAAGTCAGATCTGAAAAATGTGTCAGTCAAGGCATTTGTTAAGAAAGCTGTGTAAAATCTGTTTATGACTTTTCTTTATATTCCTGTTTGTTCTGTTTTCCCATGCTCTAACATTGATTGAGACTAGATACTTGCCTCACATATTGGCCTATTGAATGTATGCAGCATTCAGTTGTTTTGGAAACAGTGCATATCTGATACTGTTTATCTAAAAATATAAATCCATGTAAAAATTGAATATATGTGCCTGATTTTCCAGTTCCATGGAGTGACTTCAGACTAAAATTTTCTACTTCTTGTATTAAAAAAAAATAATTAAAAATTACTTGATATTGTGAGTCCAGTGTCATTACCTAGCAAGGACAATTATATTGTTGCCTGTTCTGACTTTATTACGGTGGTGATTTCCTTAAAAATCCTCTTTATTTGTTTATATATATTAATTGGTTTGTGCAAACAATGCTCATTTACATTGTCTACAGAGGTAGATAGATATTACAGCCATAAAATTGTTTCTTAATTTAACTTTCAAAGACAATAACCTGAGGCTGATACAGTCCTAGTTCACCTTGTTAATCTTACCTAAAGAAGCAGCAGAAATGTTTCTGCATTTTTTTTGTTAGCCAGACTAACAAGAGTGATCAGCTGCATTTTGTCTTCTTTCTTACTGGCTGTTGATGGGGACAGGGATCCCTTGAAGTGATTTAAAGGTTTTAACATGTGGACTGGGTGTGATGAATGCCAGAATGACAAGACACTGAAAGTGATCTCTGCAGACAAGTACGCAGTCTAGATTTTTGGTTTTGCCCAAAATTTTTGCCCTAGTTTTTGAGATACCAGCTTTGCAAGGAAATAGTAGCTCAGTCCCAAAATTTTCTTAGTCATTGGCATTACTGCTAAGCTTGTAAACAAAAATGTGGAATTATTCTGGATACATTGTTTCTTTGAAATGTGCAAGTATATTCTCTTCCCTGCTGTGAAGCAACCAAAGACAATGGGCGCCCAACAGCCATCAAATTGGTGAAAGGTCTGTCACTGTTCATTCTAGCTGAATTTTTATTGTATTTCCAAAATTTCTGGGTTTAGAGGTTTTTTAATAAAAGTTAAGTACTTTCTTTAATAAACAATTTCAATTTCTAATTAACTTTATTATACATTTATTTGATTAATTTTATTATTTTATACAATTGAATGTTTTATAGAAAATGCTGGCATCACTGCTGGAAGTTGAATAAGAGAGTATGCTGTTGCTACCCCTGACAAGCTAATCTAGCAGCCTGAAAGTTTACTAACTGTATTGATTAGGATGAGAGTAAGTCTTTAAGCAGTACTGTCAGCATAAAAGGTGATACAGGGCAGAGCAGTTTTGTCAAGCTATTGCTGGCTTACTTCTGCTGTGCATAAACATGTATTCAGCAAACCCAAGCAAACTGTTCCAAGATCTTAAAAAAATTGACCCAGCTGTTGCAGAGCTTTTCTCCTGTATCTTCACTGGCTATAATTGTGTCCTGTCTGAAGATGTGAAGGATATGTCCTGAAACAGATGGACCTAAACTTGATTCCGTATTTATGCCACTCCTTTGATTTCAGCTGATAGTTTTAACTTGCACAACAGAAGTAAATTCAGTATCTACCACCTGTATGATCAAACCTGGCGAGTTACATATGCCTTAACTCAAGCTTCCATTTCTTCAACTCTCATCTTCTTTTCTGCATGTAAATAAGGACATAGACTGAACTTCCAAGAAGGAAAAGGTTTACGTTAGGTAAACTGCACTGGCCCATTTTGTGGAAGAACGCATCTGTTCCAAAAGCTGATGCTTTGATAAAATCGTCTTCTAGTTTTCTAAGTCCCCTTTTATATACCTGGTGCAGAAGGTGGAGGAGTGAGTTGCATGTACCATTCTACAATATAAGATTCTTGTTGTATAAAAGACAATTAGTAGAACAAACAGGAAAGATTGAGACACCAGTTGAAACCTCATCATGTCACAACTGGTTGTGACAATAAGCCTTACAGCACATTTTTCCTTTAATGACTCACATTTTTCCTTTAATGATTTTTCTTGCAGCTGTTTTTAATAATTTTTTTGTTGCATACTGAAGACAGAATGATGTGTTTCTTGTAATTTTATGCTTTATACGAGTAGTAAGACAATTTCTGTGAGAGGAAGTATAAACACTTGTAAGTTAAAGATTTTACTTGTATTTGTGCACTTCAGGTACCAACTCATCCAATTAAAAATAGAGCTGCCCCTTACAACTTACAAATGTGTATGTTTAAGTACTCTGCAACAGACAGAACTGTGATATTTTTAGAGGGCGATTTACATGGTAGGCAAGCATAAAAACAGTACTTATGTTTATTTTAGTGCAGATATAATAGTGCTCATTTAACATCATGAGTTTAAATTGCATTGAAAAGGAATCAGTGTGAAAGAGTGATTTAGTGAAAGGGCTTTCATGAGATTATTGTAACAGTAGAGGAGTTGTCATCTAATAGAACTACATCTAAATGTTAATCCTGCCATTTATCCTTGTTTTGCTAGATGTCTGCTGTGTACCTCACTTTCTGTATTCTTTGTTATTTTTTAAAAATTATTTTTAGGAGATATTTCTGAAAGGAAAATACCCTTCAATGAGCAATTTGTTAATATTTTTGGGCATTTAATGTGGTCTTCCATTGATACAAGCTGGAACTGTTGGTTTATATCATCTGAACAATTGTCTTTAATTTTAATAGTGCTACTGTGGAATCATTGCTCTTTACTGCAGTTGGCTTACCATAGTGGGAAGCTAATAGCAGCTATAGATTCTGAAGTCTTTGTAGCATAGGCAAGTAATCGCAGTATTTTTCTTCCAACTGGTCTGTCAGTTGCTTTGGTTTTTCTTCCCTTCTTTTTGCAATTGCTTTTATAATACATTTCAGTTCCAATGTGCTTTTTGACATCTCTGATTTAATATGGAAAGTAACTGTATGCTTTCCATATGTATGTGAATGACTCATTGACTTTGCTCTTCTCTCTCTAGCCTTCTTTCCCTGTTTAGCAAGTATGTTTTGATTTGTATTCATCCACTAGGTGTTTTGGTATGGTTGTGGTTTTGTTGAAACTGTTCTCATTGTCATGTGCTTGCTTTTAGAAACAAGGACTATCTTCCATGATTCCACCCCCCGCCCCAGGTACATGGCTACCTGATACTAGGAATTGAGTGCTTAACAGAAGTATATGAATAGGATATCGTCAGATGAAATGGATTAATTCTGTTTCAGATTAAGAATCTAGGCAAGTGATCAAGTTTTATATGCTAGGTATATCTGAATGATTTACTGCCTGGTAACAGTTACCTAGCAGCCTATGTTGTATTTACCAGACTGTTCAATGTAATCAAACAATTAGAAGGAGATTTAGGTAAAAGCATTTGCTCTTCTGACTTTTTGTATATTACTATGGCTCAGCTGATCTGTGTCTAACTAAGTTGTGATAACTGAACTTGAGCTCAAACATAATTGCATTAGAAACTGTACAGAAAAAAAAGTATTTCAAGAACTTCAAATGAGAACAAGTGATGGGTTTTAATCTGTTTGTGTGTAGTGAGTTGGAAGGAAATTAGTATGAAAAGTTAAAGTATGTCTCTTGCAAGCATCATAAATCAGAGGGGGAAATGGTGGCAACAGGGATAACTAGGGAGTTGTGTGGTGAGGAATTTATCATTCTGAATGTCAAAGCAGTGCTTATTCCATTCTTTCTGACTCTTAAATGGCTTAAAGTTTTTTCTTATGCTGTGCCTCTAAAAATGTTGGTGAAAAAGGAGTAATATGTTAATACACTTCAGTTGTAGAAGGTTTATAATGAAGTTGAAAACTAAGTCTTTTAAATGTATTGAAAAAAGCTAAAATGGGAGTTATTCTTTCTGGGTTTAAGTTACTAATCTCCTTTTGAAGAGCAATGAACCTTTTGAAGGGAAATGTGCTTCTGAGTCAGACACTGATCATCTGCTGGTAGGTAGAATTACTTCTGTTCTGCATATAGGCCACTTAGAATATGTGTTAACAGTTATTTGTGTCCTGAATCAGTCAAAAAGTTAAATTGAGCTGTCTTGATGATATGTTATCCAAAAAATGCAAGGTAGAGAAAAATGTGTAATAGCTCTGTTATGCCCTGTTTATTCACTGAAATACTATAAAGCAGTTTAATCTGCAGGGGTTAGAAAGTATTTAACTATTGAACAAAAAATACCACCACCAAACTTCTCAAGCTAATGCAAATGCTTAGCATATCAGAGCTCAGAATCATCAATATGTCTTCTGCACCAAACAAACAGTATACTTAGCAATAAGGCAGAAAAACTCTTGTTTAGAAGAATCTGAAAATAAAGATTTTCAGTGGTTCTTTGTTCATTGTTTTCTCATCTGTTTTTAGCACCTTGATTTGCAACTTCGCCTTTTCTGATAGAAATGTGCAAAGACAGGTACACTTGTGTACCTAGCGAAAACGTTTAACAAAAATCTTGAAAGAGAAGTAAAGTACTCTGTAACTAAATAATTTTATTCTGGGTTTTCTTCCTGAATGAGATAGTAAATAAAACAATATTTTTGAGGAAAAAAACCTCATCATAGTAACTATACCACATGTCCACTATGTTTTGTTCTAATGACACATGTATATAAGGATCTTAAAATTTCAGTTTAATTCTACTGTAGAGTAATGAATGGAATATTTGTGTGTGAGCAAAGACAAATTTAAGACTAGTGTTCATCCATCCTGAAGAGACATTTAATGAACAAGTAATGGTGTATTAGAATTACTTAGTAATTTTTTTAATTTCAAGTTTTGCACCTGCTTTCACATATTGTAGGACACATTGTAAAGACTGAACTGGAAATAACACTGTCTTTAGGAAGTAGTCTTCCTAATGGATAGCATGCTCTTTTTTAGAAACAGCATTTCATGTTTAGAACTTATATATTCAAAGTGTGAGCAGAAGGCAGTTATTTTGGCCTTCAATTTTCACTATTTTTTGTAACTGTGTAGGAATTTGTGGAGCACAAGGATTCTTGCCCATATTCTTCAGTATTTTTGAAATATCATAACTGGAGTCCCAATCATAAGGATTGGGACTCCAGTTTCATGCAGCTAGAGACCTCTGTCTATGGGTTTAGGGTATTCTTTTGGATTGAAGTGGTAGTTAAACTGTTGGTTGTCAAATAGTATATGAAAAAGTTTGCATTGTTTTATGCAGC